GTCAAGTGGGCAGGTTATATACTGATTTCACCTGGAAAGTAAGTGACAAGCCATACCATTCACTGTGCCCATGTCTGGGGGTCTCACATACCCTCAGTGAGTGTGCCAGTGGCACCAAACATGATCTGTTATTGTTAGCAAGAGGTTTGCATAGGAAGCAGCCGAGTACCTTAGCAGGTCAGGAAACTTGGCCAAGGTCTCTTGAGAACTCAAATCCAGGCTGGCCAGGCCACCCTCACCAGGCTTCCATGAACTCCACCTGCCAACTTCAAGTTTTTGCTAACCTCCCCAGGCTCATCTGAAGTTTCTCCTCCCCTTCCTCTGGCCTCAGCTGCCACTCCAGCACCCCATGGCTAGAGCCACCAGGAGCGGGGGGAAGGGCAGATCCCATGCTCACCTGTCAGCTCCCACTCACAATGCCTGAGAGATTTTATATCACAGCAGCCACAGGTCAGAGAGAGAAGGAGCACACTCAGGCCTATGTCTGACCAGGATGAGCAGCACCCATCCTAACTCCTGGGGAAAACTGGGCTGTCTGGGGCTGATGAGCTTAATTTAGCTGCTGTTGCTACTGTTTTCTGAACATCCCCTGGATGCTTAGCACTATGCTGGGAGGCACAGATATAAAGCCGTGGGACTGCATGTGACCCCTGTTCTGTAGATTCTCAATATCCAGCCACACAGGATAACAGAAGTAGCTTCAGTGGGAACATATGCCCTAAAACCCAATACACAGGCATCCAGAGGCACACATACACACTGGGAGACCATGTACATAGTCACAGCCCTAAACAGGATACCCCTGAAATGCCTACCATGACTGCAGACACTTCAGTGTGCTCACTTAGCAGGATACTCTACAGCAGGTGTCCACACAACATGGCAGGCTTGGAGTCATATTGGTTACGTCCCAGCCATCACAGATGGTCTATGCATACAAGAAGCACTGCTGTGTCCCAGGAAAACTTAGCTATGGACATGTGAATTTGAACTTGGCATAATTTTCATGTCACAAAATATTTTTCTTCTGATTACCCCACTCAAAACTATTTTAAAAATATGAAAAACCACTCAGAACTCCCAGGCAATATCAAGGAGGTGTTGAACTGGATTTAGTTTAGGGGCCATAGCCTGCTACTCTTGCTCAGTAGCAAAAACAATGTCACCTACCTCTTATCAGCCAGATATACCTTAAAAGACATAATGTTGAATCAAAGAGACACCACAGAAGAATATACATGCTACAATTTCAATTACATCAAGTTCCAAAGCAGACAAACTAGGTCAGTGGTCCTGCACTTGTGTATGAGTTTTCACTCCCAGCGCTGAAACAAAACAGTCAAACTACTCTGCCATAAATGACTTTGTGCTAAATGATGAAAGTATAAAGAAACAAGTCCAGGGTTACCTAGCACCCCTACATCCACGATCATGCAGAAGAAAACAATAGCTCTAAGGGGAGAAACGATGTCTCTGGAAGAATGTTCTGGAATGTTTTCTTCCTTGCCCTGTGTCTTAGTCACACTGCATGTTTTTTTTTTGGGGGGGGCAGTATTTATTATTCATCACTGCGCTTTTCAGTATGTGTATTGCATTTCACAATCACAATGAAGAAGGCATTGAGGATAGGACCTATTGGGACAGTGTCTGAACCTCTGCCTGACAGGCATTGTAATCAATGGTCTTGCATCCCACTGCTCAGGAAGAGTCTCCTCGTCAGTTCTGGCCTTCCGGCCTTTACCCATGCTGTGCCTGTGTGCCTCCTCACCCGCTCTGTCCTCCTCTGGGTCCAGCCCCCGCCAATGCCCTCTCCAGCAGGCAGCCTTTTCTGCACTCCCTGAGCCCACCTCAGCGCTGCACTGCCTCTCTGCAGGCCTCTGTCTCCCAAGCTCTTTATTGGGATTAAACGAAGATGAAAGACAGAGGCCAGTGGTGACAGAGGCTGGAGGGGCAGGAAGGGAGGCAGGAAGCCTTAGCTTGCAGAAGCAGAACAACTATTCATGCTTGGGAACAAAGGGAGTGGTGACATCTGAGGCCAGAGAGCACAGTCAGATGCACACATGAACTCCATCTAGGTCCTGTTTCCTAGGACAACTCTCATAATCTCCACCAACGGAGAGGGTGGGCCTGGGCCTTGTTCACTTCTGTTCCCCACAGTGTCTAGAGACCTGTGGCCCCAGAGACTCTGTAAATCACTTCAATTCGCTTCCTCCTCCATGGGTATTTGAGAAAGAAATCAGTAAAGCTTGGAGCTTGAAAACAATCAAAAGAGAAAAGGGACTAGCATTTGTCAAAGACACGGAGGCCCAGAAACAAGCAGATCACCCGAGGTCACACAGCAGTCAAAAGAAACATTTGAATCCCAGCATTTGAAAAACTAAGGCAGGAGGATGGATGGAGAGTTTGAGGCCAGCCAGGGCTATACATTGGTTCCTGGCCAGCCTGGGCTATATAACAAGTCCAGGCTACACATTGAAATCATAGCTCAAAAAGGAAAGGAGGACTAGCAAGGTGGCTCAATGGGTAAAGGCACTTGCGGGGCAATCTTGGCGACCTGAGTTTGACTCCCAGAACCCATGTGAAAGTGGGAGGAGAGAACTGACTCCAGTGCTGCCCTTTCATCCACATATACACACCGTGAAACACTTGTACCCCACACCACACAATGATGATGATGATGACGACAAGAGGAAGGAAGGAAGGAGCAAAGAGGGAGGAGGTAGAGGAGGGCTCTTCAAGTGTCAGGTATGGTGATGCAAGCCTGTAATTCTAGCACTCCCAAGGACGCTGAGACAGGAGGATTGCTGTGAGTTAGAGACTGTTTAGGAAGCCCTGTTTCTTAAACCAGAGAGAGAGAGAGAGAGAGAGAGAGAGAGAGAGAGAGAGAGAGAGAGAGAGAGAGAAAGCTTGCATTCCAAGCATGTATGGGAGAGCTCTTAAAGCCTGGACAGGGGTATGGGGGAAGAACAGATGCTGTGGTAGACAGGGGGCAGGACTAAAAGAGGGGCTATGTGTCCCTTTAATCAGCTCCGGAAGCCAGGGAGCAGGCTTTCCCTTCTCCTGCAAGAGCAGAAAGAACTTCTCTGTGGCAGAGGGTTTGTTGCAATACAGGGAGGAAAATCTGTTTCTGTTTTTGTATGTAGCTCATCCTCTTTCAAAACAGCTTCCCCTAACTGTAGTAGCTTGGCCAGCAAAGCCTCCTCTAACTCAGTCCCTGGCCTATGAGGGGAGAGCCACACTGAGAAAAGATAGGAACTTGGGGGACGTAAGTTAAAATGACTAAGTGGGACTTTTTTTCTTTTTTTTAAGGTGGGGAATGAGGGTCTCACTCTGTGGCTCAAGCTAGTCTGAAACTAATAGCAATTCTCCTGCCTCAGACTGCCAAGTCCTGGGATTACAGGCAAGGGTCACAACATCCCGCTTAAGTGTAAGACAGGTACAGTCTGTCTTTTGGCTGTCTTCACACAGGTCTGGGAGAGCAGTGTGACACAACACTGAAGGAGACAGGCCACTGGTTTGCACCCCAGCCTGCTGCAGAGGCTCCTCCCCTTGTAAATTTTCCTCACAAGAATGTTCTTTTCAAAGAAAAGTGATGGGGTCAGCAGAGCCCACCAGGCTGGCAGGTTTCTGGCTGGGCTGAGGCTGAACCTAGCCTATAGCCTGACCTCTATTCTACTGCCTGACTTCAGACATGTTGACAGACCTCCATGGGTTAGTCTCCATGTCAGTGCAATGATGCTGAGGACATTCAGTTTTGGGTTCAATAAATGCTAATTCCTGGTTATCAGAATAATTGTTTGTGACATAAATAGAAAGGGGGATATGACATGATCAGGGCAGAAGAAACTCATAGTCACCTCCTCAAAGTCAAAGTGGCACTGGGGAGAGGCCTTAGTGGGAAATGCCTGCAGCACAAGTGTAAGGACCTGAGTTCGAATCCCATGAATTCACACAAAGCATAGTAGCATGTATGTATAATCAGTCCTATTGTTCCTGCAACAAGATGGGGGATCCAGACAGAATCCTTGGAAGCTTACAGGCTGGCCAGCCTTGCATATTCAGCAGTGACAAATAAACAAAAAGAAATTCTGTCTCATACAAGGTGGAAGGCAAGTATAGACACCTGAGGTTGTCCTCTGACCTCTGCACACACATACTCTTCCAAATGAATAAATAAATAGAAGTCAAACTGAGAAGGAAGAGTGCACAGCCTCCACAGGAGAGGCCTTGGGTCAGTCATGGGCCAGCTGCTAGCTAGGCTAAGGCAAGGACAGCTTCCAGAGCACTACCAGGGAGAGGTGCTAGCTATCCAGGGAAGGACACAGTCAGAGGTGCATTGGCCTGGACAAACTCTCCCCTACCCCACAGCCTGCTCTGGATCCAGAACCCCCAGATTCCAAAGGAGCCTGGAACCAGGAAAAGGCAGTAGTGTTGGCCGTGGGGAGACTCACACTGATCATAAAATCCTTGACCTCTGGCTGTGTTTCAGGAAGTGGAAAGTGTGGCCCTCTCCAGTGGCCTTAACAGCAACTGTGCCCCAGGGCACCATGCTCTGACTGGCTACTGTCCTACCTATGTCTTCTATGGTTAACCAACCACCGCCAATAGCACCCAGGGCAGCTTTGCAACCTGGCAGATTCAGCACGACGGGTCTACCACAACACCCATGTAAAAGCTGTTTCTTCTTCAGACCCCACACCTGACCTCAAAACCCAGCACCCATCCTCCTTGTTTAAGGACCCAAGCTATGCTGTCAGGGAAGCTGTTAACACTGCAGTGAAGGCACAGCACTGTCCCCCACCCCTTCAAACATCACCTTGGCAAGGCATTAGCTAAACATCTCCCGAGTCCCCAACGGCTTTCCCTGTGAAGTCTACGATGTTCAAACGCATCCAGCAAGTCCCCAGAGATAGGTCCCGAGAATTAGCTGCTGCCGCTGTGCTGGATGAAAGTCACTCTGATGTACACGACAAGAGGGCGTGGGGAGGAGACAGACTTGCCTGCTAGCTGCAGGGTCCAGGGTACCAGCAGCAAACGGAGGAACCACAGAGCTGGGAGCCAGAAGGGAGGGTTCAGGTATCCCACCCGGGCCCCACACCACAGACACCAGCTCTCCATCTGACAACGCCACCAGCCTGACTCTTGATCAAAGTCTTTCCTTCCTCTTTAGTTCACTGGAGGCTGTGGCCCCTGCCAACAGCCACAGTTCCCTTTTGTGTCCCTATAAGTTCCTCCTCTGGGTGACTTTCTGCTTTCTCAAGCTGTTCTTTTCCTTAACCCTGACTTCACTCAAGGAGCAGCTTTCGTGGGGTTTCCACAGATAAGCAGCCTTGGACTCCTACTTGTCCAAGCCACAGAGTAGAAGAAGAACTAGGGTTGGGAACCTAGGCCTTCCCTGGCCAACTCCTGTCAGCTTCTGTCCCCCTTGGCCCCCCTTGCAGTGGAGGACTCTGTCCAGGACACGGTGGTAAGCATGCTCCTTGGGTTAGTGCCTTACACTTCTAAAACCCTGAAACTGACCACAATCCCACCTGCTCAGATGTCTCCTCCGCAATGTTGTTGCAGCCCCTTGTTAGGGTGTCCCGAGGAGTGGGGTTTTTGGGGGCACGGGGGCAGGAGTGGCTGGAGTATAGGGGAGGAGAAGGGTGCGGTGAAGGAGTGGCAGACTGCAAGGCAGAAGGACCTGAGCCACTTGTCCCAGCCTCAGAGGGACCCTAACATCTCCAGGGGTGAGAACAAGCCCTGGCCAAACAAGGGCTGGTAAGGCCCTTTGGAGAAACTCCTCTTGATTTGCCTTAACTGTCCCCACTCCTCCTGGTGGCTCCTCTTGGGTTCACCCCATGCCCCCCAGTGAGACACAGGCACTGTTTTCCCATGGGCTCTGTCTCACTGTCCCACCTTACCAGAGGTGCCAGGACAGGGACAGGGCTGGCCTTCTGCCAGGCCCCAATCCTCAGCAGATTCTAACAAGAACTCTTGGTTTTTTGAGACAGGGTTTCTCTGTGTAGCCCTGGCTGTCCTGGAACTCACTCTGTAGACCAGGCTGGCCTCAAACTCATAAAGATCAACCTGCCTCTGTCTCCTGAGTGCTGGGATTGAAGACGTGGGCCACCACCACCTGTCTGAGAGGCCTCTTGAGGTCCCGGAGCCTTTTGTCTGTCTGTCTGTGACCTGAGTAGTGGGGGTTGAATGGACAGGTGGAGGAAACCAGCAGGAAGGAAACTGAGGCGAGACCTGCTGAGAGCCGATCTTTCTCATTAGTGCCACTAACCTGAGAGAGCCCTGAATGGCCCCACCCCACCAATGAGAAACTTCATCCTGACCAGGTAAGAAAAATTGTCAACGACATGGGCAAGTCTGTGGGACATGAACTGAAAGGCCAGACAGATTTATACCTGAATTTTCTTTGCCATTTCTGCTGCCACGGTGGAAGCTGTGCACATAGCTCAGGTCCCACGGTGTCACCATGGGACTTGTGTCTGTGCCTTGCCTAATTCCCCTCTCTTTGGCCTCTGCGCAGTAACAGTAAAGCTGCAGGGTGTTCAGGAGCAGGATCCCCGAGGCTGGTGTGTAGAGGCAAGCCGCCATAGGCCCCCCCCCCCACCCGCTGAGGAAGACACATGAACAGGAGAAGATACATCGCAGAGGGGCGGGCTGGGACCCAGGAGGCATTGGCTGTTGATCCATCAAGGTGATACACGATTGCTGGTGTCACAGTGAAGCATGGATAATCTGCTTCATGCCGCTCCCCAGCTCCTGCGGGGAACAGGTTGTCTAAGCACTTCGGTGCCATGGTGATAGACGTCACGTTAATGCCTCGGTTCACCGAGGGAGCATTTTAAAGACTTGGGGCTGCGCCTTTGAGAGTTTCCCCTCATGACTCGGCACCTGGAGTGCCAGGCGGTATAAGCACAGAGCCCTGCTTCTCCAACAATCCTGCTGCCCCCATGCCTGCCCAGATGCCATCCTGCTGCTCCTGCCTGCCTGTGCTTGGCACTGCTCATCACCCCAGGCAGAAAACACTGTTCCCTTGCAGGATACCTGCACCTACGCAGCAGGCAGCAGGGGCTCACAGGACTCTGCAGCCATTCACTCTCCTGTCTCCTGCAGGTCTTCAGCTCTACAGACTTCATGCTTGGTAAGGAAGTTTCTCAGAGGCCAAAGTGATGCCTGGGCTCTGGGCGGGGCTGATGAGACCCATACCTACACTACCACCCCAATGGAGCACAGCTGTGATGGCAAGATGGAGGCGTAGGCGCTGGATCATCATGGGCTCCCAGAAGGAGGTGGGGACAGGCCTAGGGAAAAGAGCCCCTCTGGCCCAGGTGACAATGTGAGGGAAATTAAACCACAGCCATTCAGAAACCTAACGATTGTCACAACTTTGCAGCTCCCTGTCACCCAGGGCAATAAGTGGCAGACCAGCTGGGCTCCATTCCATTTGTTGGCCTGCGCCCTGGGCAGGGGCTGTGAATAAGTAGAACCAAGGCCTCCAAGATATTGAAGAGGAAGACAGGAAATAATTGTGACATCACATCTCTGGGCTGTGCCTTTGAGCTTGAGTTTGTAGGTGATGCCACTGGGGATATCACGTCTCGGCCATGGCATGAGTCTCGCTATGTATCCACCCATTTACCCCACCATCTACCCTTTACATGTCACTGGGCACGTCCTCTACCCAAAGCACTGGCCTTCCAAACAGATACAGAAGGGTAAGAGCTCAGCTTTCAGGAATCCTGTCTACAGGGAACCTCAGTAACCCCAATCAATTCAGTATGACTGTGTGGTCCAGTTGATGCTGAAAACTCTTCATCTCTAATTTAATTCTCCTGGCAATCCCATGTAGCAGGTATACAGATTGCTCCCATTTTACAGGTACAGAAACTGAGATACAGGGAAGACAAAATAGTTTCTAACCATTACTCTAGTCAGGTGGTTCTCAACCTTCCTAATGCTGTGACCCTTTAATACAATTCTTCATGTTGTGGTGACCCCCCCCAACAGAAAATTATTTTTGTTGCTATTCCATAACTGTAATTTTGCTACTGTTATGAATCATAATATAAATGTCTGGGTTTTCTGATGGTCCTAGGTGACAACTGTGAAAGGGTCTTTTGACCCCATGGGAGGCATGACCCACAGGCTAAGAACAGCTACACTAGACTGAGTACCAGCCTGAAGGGCAGAGCAGCACACAGAGCGAAGAGGAATGCCAGGGAAGGAAGAATGCATGGCAGTGTCCCTAGGAGGGCTCTGTGGACAGCCCTGAAGGAGGAAGTAGGTGGGGGAACACAGAAGCACATGGTCCCTTGCAGGTCCCCAGGGCCACCTGGATACTGAGACTAAACGTCCCGGAGAAGGCCAAGCCATCAGCCTCCGTGTTCAGTTTACTTTGCCAATGTTTCTTGTGTGCCAGGCAGCAAAGACAAAAACTAAGTCAGAGTTTTGCCCTCAGAGCATCCCAAGGGAAACAGACCCCAGAAAGGGAGTACGGACCCAGCCACTGCTGCCTGGCCTGAGCTCAGGGTTCCTTTCCTAGAAGCAGAAGTACTGGGACATGAGGATCAGCCAGAGCCGTGAACCAGCTTCATGTCACCTTTTTCTCCCCAGGACTCTAGCTCCTAAGAAATCTATCAGCAAAGAGCCCCCGGCCAAGAGTGGCTCTCTGTTTCTGACCTGGTGGTTAAAACAAGAGTATCCATTCTATTGGCCCTAGGAACATTTCTGTCTAGGGTGTCAGAGGGACAGCCTTCTGTCTTTCCTGTACCCAATGTGCCCAACAGTGGCAAGGACAACCTTCTATCCTAGGCACACTGGGCTTGCACTTGGGAAGGACCCTCTCTGACACCATGTAGTGGCTCTGCAGTTAGGTAGTGCAAGCCTCCAGCCGAGCTGACCATAGCCTGACAGGTCACCAAACAAGGCAAGAGAACTGTCAATGACACTGAGACAATCATGAACTGACCCTCAGAGGGCCACCTCCTTACCTACGAGGGAATGAACTCTCTGCCACTGAAAGCAGGCAAGCCCATCTGGAACCCATCACCCCGCATGCTGATGGGAGGTTCGTGCACTGGCAAGAAGCCCAGGCTGGCCCATTTCCAAATCCCGTCTCAGGTCAGGCTGCCTTATATCTTTGGCTGGTCCTGCCACATCAGAACTAGTTTTAAAGGGTCCCCATGTGTGTCCTACTTCTACTCTCACAGAGACCATGTGTGGGAGGAACTGTCCTTGCCCCTAATTCACAGACTAGGAAATGAAATTCAGCAAGTACAACCTGCTTGCCTCAAGCCCCACAGCGAGGGAGCAGCCAGGTGGGAAACTGGGATCCTGAGACTGCCCTTTGACCCTGTGTGCTCCTGAAGTTGCCCTGATTTTCCCATCAAAGTTGCCATCTTAACTCTCATTTGACAAATATAATGAGGAAAATAGGATAAACTAGCTGTTTTGAGGTGGCAAAGGGGATCAGAAGATCTAGGACCAGCACCTGGAGTTTGCCTGTTAAATGCATACCCCCAATAAAAATAACACTGATGTCTAGAAATAATGAGATACAAAGGTAGCAGCCTTTTCAGCATTTCTTCCATGTTCACCATGCAATCTTGTGGGCTCGTGACATGGCTATGTCACTGGAAGAAACAAACACCACCCAGGAAGCTGATTGCTGGAGGTCCCAGGGAGCAGCTGTCAAAGCTGCTCCCTGGGACCTGTGCTTCTGCCACGGGATTTTCCTTCTGGCCATGACGGACAGCCCGGGGACTGATCTGTGCCGACGGCGTCACCTGGTGGCTAACGTGGGAATGCCCTCAAATGAGAGGCCCCACCACACACATCAGACTCCTTGCCCCTTTAAGGAACCTGGGCCACTCAGAGGCCGCTAAGTTAGGCCCAGACAGGAATGGCAGCAGGGTTGGACAGTAACACAGAGGTCAGAGACAGGCTGGATACAATGTGTTGGGAAGGCTGCAGAACCTAGATCAGGGCCCCAGTGTGCCTCTCTGAAGCCCTGCCGCCCTTCCCGGGGCTGGGGGGCAGGTGGCCAATTCAGTCTGACAAGCAGCTGCGTCTGCTGGAAGCACTTTCTAATCTCTTCCGGTCAGAGGGCTCCTTCCCAGCTGCTCATTGGCGGCCAGGCAGACCCACCCCATATTCTGCAGGCACAGCGGGGGGGACTTTCCAGG